TTCCAGTAATCACAGTTACCACAGTTAAGTGATTCCTCACATTAGATAATTAAAGAAGCCGCTTGCTATATGGATGACAAAGATCCAGTCAATGCAATCTACCAGGATTTTAGAAAAGTGGCTGTTCTGAAACACCCGCTATCTAAAGCTCTTGCAGAAACTGAGCTTAGCTGTGACAAAGGGGGAAGGTATTTGCATGGATCAGAAACTAGTAAGAAAACTAGAGAGAAAGATGATTTATTTCTGAGATTGACCAGGAAGCTCTACACGAATCCATGCTGAAGCCTGTTCTTATTAAAATATTTCTAAGTGATCCAGAAAAGCTGGGAAGTAGCCAAGTTTTACTGCTATGTGAGGTGATGCAGCACTGCAGAAGGACCTAGAAGGAATGCACACTGCAGACAGATGCCATTCAGTCCATCTACATAGGAATGAACATTCCTAACCTCACATTTAACCCACAATTGCTCATCTTGCTCCCATCACTCTGAGCAGAAGCCCAGGACTGATATTAACAATTCCTGGCATCAGCTCAGGCACCTCCAAACCCTCTCTGCGTGGCACAGCAGAACACTATCCTGGGAAAATAGGCAAGACAGCTATATACAGTACTGTATAAGATCCACAGCAAACCATCATGCGCCAGTCTTCCTCTTTACCAAAAACATATCCTTTGCCAAAAAAGTCAAAACACCATATGGAAAAGTTGAAAGAAGTGCTGCAAACAGAGCACAAGAGCTTTTACATGATGAATTATTAACCAGGATAGGATGCTTCCAGTCTTCCACTGGTAAGACTGACAGCTGAGAGGGGTGCAGAGTGTAACTCATGGGTGTCCAACCTTCTAGTTTGCCTGGGCCATGCTGTCTTGGTAACTTGGTAACTTGTAAACTTGTAACTGTCTTGGTCCATATATAAAATAGTCAATGTATAAGTAACAAAACTTTTCTTTTCTTTTTTTTTTTTTTTTTAACATTTTTATTAGAAGATTAAAGAAGGAGAACAGCAAAAATGAAACTAGAGAGGTATATGACCCTGACCTTGCTTTTGTGACACTAATGCATCACACTGGCTCAATGGATGTGGCTGCAATTCTTACTGAGTTCTCGAGGGGCTCGGAGATTTCTGATGAAGTTTCACCCTTCCTGCACGTCACCTATGTCTTACCTATATCGAGGAGCTGGCTTTGAGCACCCAGCCCTGCAGGCACAAGTCCTGGTCGCTCACCCTTCCCATGTACATTGACTCTCAGCTATCAGCTCCCCCATTTTCTCCTGGGAGACAGAAGTCCCCCACCCATACACCACTCCCTCTGTGTGGAAAGAACACGGCAGCCCATTTTTGTCCCCCTAGAGCAGGGACATGGGCTGCCTCGTGCCAGCCTACAAAGGGAAGAATCCCACCCCTTGTCGTGCTGTTCTGCACCACTCCTCACTGATAGTGTGAGCCAGCAAGAGCTCCAATGTACTGCTGAACACCAGGAGACACAATAAGAAAGCAGTTCAATACTAACTGTGCTGGACAACAGAGGTGGCACTGCCTACCAAGGCAGCCTGCTCAAGCACTACTGGTGCTGCAAGAACTCATCTCATGTCCCTGACAGTAAGTGATCACTGCTCCTTGCCTTATCACCAGGCATCCTTGAGGAATGGCTGTGCTGCCTTCCCCACAGCTCCCCAAAAACAGCTTGACACCAACGACACCATACAACTCCCAGCCCTGCTGGCTAACAGCCGAGTAACTCCATCACGTGAAGTTACCTTGGCGGTTAGAATCTATTTGCACATTTCCCATCAGGAGAAGGCTGGGACGAAGATGGCAGATAAGAGCACACATAGCTTCTGCACCCTAACTGAAAGCCCTAGATGAAATATCACAGCCTACACAGTCTGCAACTCAAGAACTTCTCGGGCCTGTAAACAGCCACCACTGCTTTGAACCTGCTCCTGCTCAAACAGCGGTTCGTTTGGCTCTGATGTGTGCATGAGGCTTCATTAATGAGATAAGAAGACAGAAAGGGGAGGAGTATTAAAATAACAGCAGGCAAAATCATCTGGAACTTAAGCTGGGTAACTCACTGACTTGCATTTTAAAAAAAAAAAGCAAATTTAGAAAAAAAAATATCAATCACCACTACCAACACTAGAACTGTGCATAAGCCTCCCTACATCCTAAGATTTAAAGAAACCTTTGTTTCTGTGTTAAAGTGCTGGTACCAGCTTACCATAGACAGCAGACTGATCTTCCTCTGTGCCACAGCTCTCCTTAAGGCCCAGTGCTCCAAGAGTTCAGAAAAGAAAGTGAAGAAGCACTGAATCAGGACTAGAGAAAATGACCTCCATGTGCTGCGAAGCCCTCAGTCTGCTGCGTCCATAGCTATCAGCCTTCCTATCGCCTTCATTGTGTTTTGACTAGAGACTGTTTAAGATAACACACATTATCTTAAGAGGAAGGAACTACAGTTGCACAGAGCTTCCAGGATCTCAGAGATTATAGAGTTGATTTTGGCTTCCAAACACCTGAAGGGAGGTTGGATTCTAACATTAGTCACTCAGTTGAGGTCTTCCATCTCTGTGCCTTGAAGTTCAGTGTGCACACGGATTTTGAAACAGAATAAGAGAAAAAGGTAGTGGGACTCAAACTGATCATAACAAAAGCAATCAGTGCACCTGCCTTTGAACAAGATCATACTGCATACTTCCTTCAACCTCTCGCACAGTGAAAATTACAACCTGAGAAGATGTTCCATTTAATCTATGAAATGCTAAACATAACTTTGATTATAGTAAAGACTGGAGGTCAACAGGCCTTAACAGCTCTTTCCCACCAGAACTATCGGAAACCACTGGTTAACATCCCAATCAGAAAAATTGCTGCAGGTCCATCACATGTGCTCGTGAAGATTAGGAGAAGAAACATCCTTCCTCATTTCCAAAGATCCTCCTTTTGTGGGCATTTAAATGCCAACAAATAATATCACTGAGACTATTCCAAAGCACAGCTACATGAAAGAAGTAAACCAATGAACTTATAAGTAAACCAATGAACTTATTTCTTGAATGTGCACAAAGACTATACTCCTATAATCGGGCAATCTATTCTCATTCCCTTTCATATGTAACCCCAGGACAAAACCAAGGCAGTGCCAGTCTGTACCCATCTCCATTCCTGCCCAAAAAGTGCCTCCCAGTCACTCCACACTCACACTAACAGCTCCCCCTCCACATCCTCCAGGAAAAAAAAAAAAAAAAAAAAAAAAAAAAAAAGTTGGGCTAGGAAAACTCCTGAGAGAACTTTCTTACCTATTCTTTTGAGTGAGTCAGCAACTGCTTACTTGCATTCGTATTGCAAATCACTAGAAAATTCTTCCCTTCCTATCCCATCAGCAACTTTCATAACATTTGTAGGAAGTGTATGTCTGAAACTGCCAACTCCCATCATAAAACGTTGCTCATCACTGGTGGAGAGATACTGGTAGGTGAGGACACATAGCTTGTACACCTGAGAACTGCCATCCTTAGGAGATGAGCCTGATTGTGGACAGGCCAGAGAGCTTTTTCCCCATTCCACCAGCAAATACCAGAAGTCCTGAAGGCACTGGCCAAACACACCCTACAGCATAACCATGAGCAAGCAAAGTGCTCTGAAAAACATCAGAGCAACAAAAGTTAGAACCCATATTGCAACACTCCAAATCTTTACACCAGCATCACACAACATTCCATACAAACCACACAATAAACTGCTAAAATAACTGCCCAGTCCCTTGCCTTCACACACTATCTGAAAACCTTATTTTCAACTTTATTTCTCCTGTACTTTGAAAATTTTGGCTAGCTTCTACCATAACGTGGGCAGCTAGCATTTAGATGATCTCAAACTAGTATTAGGTCACTTCTCATTCAGCTCTGAAGAACAGTTTTTCATACGAATAGCTATGTTGTTGTCTGGTTGCTGTTTTCTAAGGTAAATGAGCCAAGACACTCATTTCTTCGCACAAAACAGTATATCCAATGACAGGCTATCTCAGTAACAGAAGTACAGACGTACACTGAACTGAAACTGCACTGCTTGTTCCACTAAATGAAGCCTTGCTAGGCTTTCCTGTCTGTACTGAAAGTCTCTGCTCACACACCCCTCAGGAGCTGTTCTCTTCTGCAGGCATTTCAAAGGGTGATTCATTTCTCATTCAGTCAAATAACATTTATGTACCTCTTTTATGACCCCAACCAATTAATTCATTTGCTCATTCTCAAGTCCACAAAGAAAAGTTGCGCTCTTCAGGGCAAAATCTCAGAACTCAGAACTACTCCAATGCACTGACCACCTAGTTTTCCAGACAAATCAGCAAGCCCACAACTACCACCATCTCCCAGAAAACTGTTACTCTGAGATTTCTGAGCACACGCCTCTGTATGGCTTCAGTCCCAAGACACATCACCGAAGAATATCCTTAATCACATTCCTGCTGCTGCCAGACCATTACAGCTACTGGCAGCAAGGTAAGAAGGAGAAGATGAAATACAATGTACATCCTACAACACAGAACCCGTTGCAGTGACTGATATCGCTTCCCAATTTACCGACTCACAGAACAGTAGAGTGGCTTGCGTTAGAAGGGACCTTCCAGCCCCATCCCTGCCTTGGGCTGGCTGAACCCAGCAGACCAAGCTGCCCAGGGCCCCTCCAACAAACAGGGAGATTTTCCCAATTTTTGAGAGGCTTTTCTCCATCTCTCTGGAACTTTTCATTTTAAACATGCAATAAACTGATTTGGTGATGCAGGGAATCTATAGTGTCAATCACCTCAAAGTACTCCTTCACCTACTCACTGTATAACACGTGAGGGAGTGAGAACTTGTGGGAGATGGAGAGGTCAGCTCGACCTCATCGAGTCTCAACTTGTTGATAATGAGGCCCTGGAAAGGAGATAGAGGGTCTGAATAAACAGGGGTGTTTTGTACTCAGCCATAAGATAAACTCTCTGCTGATTATGAAGACTTGTTATGGAATTTGCTTGCTTTCTAGCCAATGGATTGCTAGTGGAAATGTACTGAATATGCGTGTTAGAATATAAAAGGCTTGCTTTAGCAAGTAGAGAGACATACATCAAGATTATTACAGCAATAAAGAAATCTTCCTGGCAAGAAAACCCTGTGTCGTGGGACTAACTCACGACAATTGGCACCCGAACAGGGACCAGACCAGAGACTCAGCTTAACTTGAAGACTGACTGGTCCAGAACACATTGAAAAATACGCGTCAGGCGCTGAGAAAAACGTGGAAAGCCCTTATAGGGGAGTGCTGAGATAAACACAGCGGACAGAAGATTCATCATCCCTTCTATTCGATTGCCTCTCACTGGACGAAGGTAAGTGTGCGCACTATGGGGAACAAAATGACCCTGGAACAGAAAAACGTCCTAGTTACCTCTCAGTATATACTCAAACGGCGGGGGGTGTCAGTATCCTCCCCTGATCTACAGCAAATGTTTGTGTGGGCCACCAGATAGGATCCCTCCATCACCAGTCAGACAGTTTACAAGACAGAGACATGGGAAGGGATAGGGGTGAAATTGTTGGACATATCCCCTAAAGGTGTCCGGGTTGCAAGAAACCTGGAAAAAAATTTTTGAAGCTTTAAAAAGTCATGTGGGCCTATTGTTGGTCACCCCAGTCCACCCGAGGATGAAGGAGCTGCAGAGTCCTCCTCAGATTTACCCGTTATGCCAGCAAGCCCGCAACCCCCTCGTTACCAACACCGTGGGGGAGCTTGCCACCATGCTCCTGTGGGCCCTGATAATCTCACTGATCCTGGCCCGACAAACTAATCAAGAGCTGCATCTGTTTCCCCACAGTCCACACAATGCATGGGCACTCGTTCAGAAGGAGGCTAGGAAAGCTGGAGTCAGGGATATGTTACGGGCATTTCCTGTAATTACAGAGCCAGAACAAGAGCCATGGTGGGAGGCTATATCGTGTAGTATCCTGTGAGATTTACAGCATACGGTCACAGACCACAGCATCAGCTCCCTGTATACTGTGAATTTGACTCAACCCGTATGTAATAGCTCCATTCTCACACCACGTGATTTTAAAATGATGTGTCGTCTTATCATGACCGATATGCAGTATACTATGTGGGAATCAAAACAGAGGATTGGCACAGACCCAGGCGACTGAAAATCAAGCAGTGCTGCAGAGAAATCCACTCAGGGCTGTAGGTGTGAGTGCTTTGATGGGGGAGGGGAATTTCTCCACCCCAGCTCAGCAGGCGCAAATTCCTGCAGAAGGGCTACAGCAAGTTAAGCAGCTGGCAATGCATGCCCTTCGAGCCGTGCCTGAGGTGGGGGAGCAGAGACAGTCTTTTGTGAGCATCAAACAGCAGCACCAAGAACCATATATAACATTTCAGGACAGGCTTAAGAATTGGCTAAAGAAGCAAGTCAATAACACACAGGCAAGAGCTTTCATATTTCAACAGCTAGCAATTGAAAATGCAAATGCTGATTGCCAGAAGATGTTACTTGCTTTAAAAAATCCCACTACTGATTAGTATCCCACTATTAATGCCTGTACAAATGTTGACACGCACCAAGCTGCACTCACGGCCCAGGTGTCTGCCACTTTATCTCTTAACCAGCAGCGCAGATATTTTGGCTGTAACCAATTTGGTCACATTTGCGCAAAGTGACTGCAGAAGGACAGGAAATCAGAATTATGCCCAAGATGCAAGAAGAGCAATCACAGAGCATGAGATTGTTGGTCAAAATGTGATATCAATGGCCAGCTGCTTCCTCCAGCAGGAAACTCGCAGAGAAGCACGAGGGGGGGTGCACGATGACAGTAAACTCCCCTCAAGCATCTGCTGCAGCTTGTATGCCAGAACCCGGGGTAGTGCCAGTGTGGACTTAGCCACCTCCTCAGACACAGTCCTAAATGATACCACCTTCGCCTTAGCCCCCACGGGAATTTATGGACCGCTGGGAAATGTCATGGCAGCACTCTTAATCGGATAGTCTTCTGCAATGTAGGTGGGTCTTTTTGTTTTGCCTGGTGTTACTGATGCAGATTACACTGGGGAAATAAAGATAATGCTGTGGACACCAACCCCACCTTGCACTGTCCCTGTGGGAAGTCATATAGCACAACTGATTTACTTTAAGCCTAACCCGCCCCAATGAACCAACATCCCATGGAGTGACAATAGCTTTGGATCAACCAGTGAACCTCAGGCTTTCTGGTCTCAGAAAGTCTCGCAGGGGAGACCAAATCTGACTTGCGTGCTGTGATAAGGGAAACAAGAGCTAAAAGTGATAGGCATCCCTGACAGCAGTGCAGATGTTATGATCATCCCTGTGACACTCTGGCCACCGCAGTGCCCACTTATGAATCCCAATGCAGTACTAACAGGCATAGGGAGGCACACCGTGCCAAAACAAAGCACAGCAGTTATTATAATCATTGGGCCAGAAGGCAGAGCTGCCTCCGTGAAACCTTGTGTCTCACATAGCCTCGTCACTCTGTGGGGGAGAGATTGTATGGGACAGTGTGGATTCTCCATCAGTATGGATTTCTCCCAGGGGCCACTGCCTTGCAGCAAATCCCATGTTCAGTATGCAAAACTGATACACCCGTGTGGGTGGACCAGTGGCCCCTATCCCAAGAAAAATTACTGCAGTTAAATATCCTTGTTCAAGAACAAGTAACAGCTGGACATATGATGCTGACTAAAAGCCCATGGATTTCCCCTGCGTTTGTGATCAAAAAACGATGAGGGAATGGAGACTGGTATCCGATCTCAGAGATTAATGCCATTATTGAAAATATGGGTACTTTGCAACCAGGGCTGCCTTCCCCCACTATGCTTTCGCAATCATGGCCACTAATAGCAATACACTTAAAAGACTTGTTTTTTTAACATCCCACTGTGCTCTGATGCACCATGTTTGCATTTTCAATTCCCTCTATTAACAATGGGGAACCCCATCGCAGATACCATTGGACTGTGTTGCCTCAGGACATAAAGAACGCCCGACCACTTGTCAACAACTTATTGACACTGTTTTATCTCCTGTTACGCCAAAGGTTTCCCCATGTCTGCATATATCACAACAGGGATGATATCCTGGTTGCCACACCAACAGAGGTGACGGTGACTAAAGTTGTGTGTGATTGTAACAGCAGCAACTCATGCAGGATTGCAGATTGCACAGAACAAAATCCAAAAGACACTACCTTGGCTATATCTGGGCTGGAGGATTTCACAGACTCGAATCCAGCCTCAGACTCAGAGTACCAAATTAAGACCTGAAACGATCTGCAAAAGTTCTTAGGGGCTATAAATTGGGTGCAACCCCTAGTGGGAATTTCTACAGGTCTTCATCCTCTCTTCAGATTACTGGAAGGAGATCCAGGCTTATCATCACCACAACATTTGACACCAGCAGCAGTGACAGTACTAAATACTGCCATCTCGAAGATGACCCAGCAAACAGAACACTGAAGAAAACCTGATCATCCTATCAGTCTTTTTGTTACTAGTTCTCCTTTCCAGCCCTATGGACTGTTAGTGCAGTGGGTCAAGGGGATCCCAACCCGTTGGTAATTTTAGAATGGGCATTTTTGCCACACAAATTTGCTAAGATTGTTACCTCCAGAGTTGATATGGTAGCTATGGTCATTTGCAGGGGAAGGGAGCATTTATTAGCCTTAGATGGGACAGATCCAGAAACAATCTATGTTCCATTTGATCTTAAGCAATGGGACTTTGTGTTCCACATGTCACAACAGCTACAGTGTGCGCTGGTGGGGTTTTCAGGGCAGATCAGTATTCATCTGCCAGTGCACAAGCTTTTACAATCTCTTCTCACTGTGTATTTGTTAGCAGTTTCTAAATTATCATTAACCCCTCTTGTAGGTGCTCTTAGTGTTTTTGCAGATGGATCCTGCAGGACTGGCCACGCAGTCATTGTATGGAAAGATACTGCCAGGACCTGGGAGAGTGACGTCCATGTCACCACCGGCTCTCCACAAGTTGTGGAACATGCAGTGTGTTTGAGCGATGCTCAGATCCCATCAACATAATAACAGATTCTGCTTATGTTGCAGGCACTGTAATGCGACTGGCACACCCTTATTTAAAGGAGACAACTAATGTGCAGTTGTTCGCACTTCTTTTGCACTTAAAATGGCTTCTAGATAATCGCTCAGAATCTTACTTCATTCAGCATGTTCGTTCTCACTCTCCTCTGCCAGGCCCCATTTCCAAGGGTAATGCACAGGCGGACAAACTGGCAGGAGCAACTGTTGTTCCTGATCAGTTTGCCCAACCATGGTTATCTCATTATTTTTATCATCAAAATGCAAAGGCATTGCAGCATGCCTTTCAACTGACCACAGATCAGGCCAGGCAGAATATACCGCAGACTGTCAAACTGTTGTACCAACACCTTCTATAGGAGTTAACCCTCGAGGACTGACCTCTTTAGTAATTTGGCACCTGACAGGCTTACCCCACTCTCACACAGGCCAAGCTATTATCAAACGAACCTGTGGTACTTAAAGGCCATGCTTCAAAAACAAAAAAGGAGGGAGCATGGGTATGACCCTGCAGGAAGGAGTAGCTGAAGAATGCTATGTTCTCAATTTTCTAAATCACAGGACAATAGAAGTACAGGCATTTTTTTGGCTGCAATACCTTAACTCCTGGCAAGGCAAAAGCACAGGTTATGGTAAAAAATATAAGCTCTAAACAATGGGAAGGACCTTATTTGTTGATAACTTGGGGTTGAGGTTATGCTTGTGTTTCAACAGGAACAGGCCTGAGATGAGTACCAGCACAATGGGTACAGCCATCCCTTTCATCATCTGCTGTAACATGATCATCGCACTCTCATCAGCGTTTTGGATTCCAGCTCAACCAAAGCAGAACGTGTGGGTCACCCTCGCCAACAAGATGGGACAAGACACACTCTGTTTGTCAACTGCGTCACCAGGAAACCCGTTCTCATGTTTGGTGGGACAACCCCTAGACAAATGGCCCATCCCAAACTCCATTGCTGAGATAGCATTCAACACGAGCGCAGTAGTCGACAAATGGGATGGATGGGTACTACGTCTGCAACAGAGCAATGTGGAACCACAAGAACTGGAACTGTTGGGTTCGGTTAAAATGGATTATTGTTTGTATTTTAACTACAGCGGAAAGAACCAATCGTTAGTTCAGTGTGTTAATTCCAGTGTAGCTGCTTATAGAAATCATTCTGCTTGGTGTAATTATACTTCACCTAACTTCTCAAGATCTAGTAGCCATCCGCTTAGCTTGCCAGCAGGAGTTTTTCTCATTTGTGGGGACAGAGCATGGTCTGCTATCCCCTCTCACATCAAAGGAGGTCCATGCAGTTTGGGAAGACTAACTTTACTAACACCTAATATCTCTATGATTACTCACCATCAAAAGCGCATTAAGCAAGCTGGACATGCTTTTCAATCAGAATGCAAGGATAATGCAGAATTTTGGAATCCTGAGGGAATAGCAGCAGCATCCTTTTTAGCCCCTGGCGTTGCATCAGTTAAAGCATTGAGCACGCTTAAAAAACTTGGATGCTGGCTAGCCAAGCAAACAAATGCTACTTCCTTGGCTCTAAGTGGACTGCTACTAGATAAAGACTCAGTACAACATGCTACATTACAAAATCGTGCTGCTATAAACTTCTTGCTGTTAGCTCAAGGTCATGGGTGTCAGGATTTTGATGGCATGTGCTGCATGAATTTGTCAGAACATCCAAAATCAATATATAAGAGCATTCAGGATTTGCAGAAAGGAGTTAAGAAATTACAGGTTGATGACAGGTTGGATATATTTGGAAGCTTCTTCAGAAACCCAGGAGTGTGGATACAGAATGTGTTAAAAATAGGGTTAGTTTGTCTTATTGCTTTTCTCTGTATTTTAGTTTGCACTCCTTGCTTACTACAGTGTGCTCGGAAAATGATACAAGCTTTAAATCACGCTTTTTTCATTAATAAAGAAGGAGGAGATGTGGGAGATAGAGAGGTCAGCTCAGCCTCGTCAAGTCCTGACTTGTTGGTAATGAGGCTCTGGAGAGGACAGAGAGTCTGAATAAACAGGGTTTCTTATACCCAGTCATAAGATAAACCCTCTGCCTATGAATTCTCTGATATGAAGACTTGTTAAGGAATTTGCTTGCTTTCTAGCCAATGGATTGTTAGTGGAAATGTACTGAATATGCATGTTAGAATATAAAAGACTAGCTTTAAAAAGTAGAGAGAGAGACATACATTATGATCATGATCATTAGAGCAATAAAGAAATCTTTCTGGCAAGAGAACCCTGTGTTGTGTGACTAATTCACGACAAGAACTGAGCACGATGGAGGCAAGGCAGACTTTTTCTGTGTTTTACAGTCTTGCTTTTCCATATGTTACTATGTGTTGCAAGATGCCCAGGCCAATATATAGCAGCAGAGGAAAAAAACGAAGAGACTGATCAAAATGCGAAAGCTACAGTACAGACCTGGAACTAGGACATTAAGATGCTCCAGCCTTTCCTAGCAGCAAGAGAAGCATTTGTTCTGCGCATTCCTGCTTAGAGACTTACTTCTTACTATTACCTACTCAATAATTAAAATAAATACACAAAAACCACTTTATGCAAATTAAGCAATCAACAGATTTTAACCCCAGTAACTCCAAACAAAGCAACAGCAGGTGCTGTTCATGCAGGCAGGTTTTTGTGCTTCCCTGTGATTTAGCACCCAGACATGTAGCATGGTCAGCCACAAAGTACAGCATCAACTATGTAGATCTTTGGTTTGGGGTGTTTTTTTTTTTTTGAGCATCACCTAAATGCTCCTTGTACATACAAAGCAGCAAAAATTTGCAGCTTGATTAATTAGGTAATCAGCTCACAAGCATTTGCCATATTTTTAATTAGCAGTTATTTACTAGTGTCTTTTTCACCCACTTAGCTTTTTCTTTTAATTCACTGTTATTACAGAAGATTTGCTTCAGAAGCCTAATGCAACTAATACTTTAAGAGAGAGGCTGCTTCAGAACCACTGGAGCACTAAGGGGCTGGAGTTCGTTATCTGCAATAACGCACTTGGAGAGCTGAGCAGCATTGTATACAACAGGCTGTGCCCAGCAGTGCCCACAGGAGAGCTGCTGCCATCCCCAGGGCATGCGTTCCCAACAGCAGCTGGGAGCACAGGAGCTGCATACAAGCATTTCCACAGGGAGCTGAAGAGAAACGATTGCAGCAGACTGCAGGTAGTAGCAGAGAGGAGCAATCAAGGAAGAACTTCAGCTGCATCATGGAGTTTTTCCACTTCTTTATTTTGAATATCCAAAGCGATTTTTTAGTATATTTGCTGCAAAAGTATGTGAGGACTTTTGTGCAAGCCAGGCAGTGCTGCACAGAGCTGCAGGCATCCAAGGCTTCTTCGGCTGCAGCTATACAGGCATCAGAACTTTGGAACTGCCAGAAAGCTTCTGATGTTCCATCAATTACTTTAATCAATTCTCATGCAGTAACAAGTCGGTGTAGCTGCAAAGGGTGCCAGCAAGTGAGTGACAAATGTCTTCTGAAACTCTTTGAAAGCCACTGCAGACTACAAGAAAACCCTTCTGTATTGACACAGCGCAAGGGGAAATCTCCTGAAAAAGATGTAAATGTCACAGTTCTGTGGTTTTCCCATCAGTTTTCCACATCAGAAGACCACGTTAAAGAGGTAATGCTGCAGTTTCATGGACTGTCGACATATTTCATCATTTGTCACCCACAGTGAGATGAAAGGAAGGCACAAATCAAGAGTTGCTTTCAATAAAGAGAACTGCATCCAAATTTTCTACATTGAGGCACAGTGCTCCTGTGCCCAAAGCACAGAGCAGGCAGCCAGGCCTGCTCAGGGCAACTGCTGTGTTTCACCAGAGAGCTGTGTGATGTGTTGCAGGGGTTTGACACATATTTCCCTCCCCCTCCCCCAACAAGGATGTGACACACGCTGCCTCAGTGCAAAGGCACATCAGAAACATTTCAGAGCTTGAGGAGTTCATGGAGAAAAGTACAACTGAGCACAGTAGGTTTCTTGGGATGAAGAGTGATAAATCAAACAAATTAATAAAACCCAAGAGAGAAGCTCATACTAATAACTCATGCCAAGAAAATTCCTTCAGCACACATTCTTTTGTTTGTGGAGCCAGAATAATTTAAATCACCAACATTTTCAAGAAATCAAAACCTACTTTATTTCCCTTTTATATTTTTGGCAACACATCTCCCAGCAACAGAACTCCACCTACACTTTCTGCAGCACAGTGCATCTGGCACGGAGGGCTAACAGAGCTCCCTATGCAGCCTCAGCACTGCCTCCACCTGTGGCACCAAACTTCTGACATGAACAATGTTTCCCACCCATTCTCACTGGCCGAACAGAGCTCAAACCCCTTGAATCCCAAACCCACCATGCTAGCATCTCACAGCAAGGAAAAACAACCACAGAAAGGAGGAAAACCAACACGATGTGGAAGATGAGGAATTGTTTCCGGAACCACACACTGCAACGATAACTGCAAGTTTAGCACCATGACAAGAGGCTTGGCTTTACACCAGGGCTTCACACTCGAGCAAGTTTCAGAAACTTTACATCCTCCAAACAACCACACAGTGCGCAATGCAGTCTGTTAATTTTACATAATCCCAGTGATTACATTTTGCCTCACAGCTTCTCCTCTAACACACTACACTCAATGAGCTTTTCTTAAACAGTGAATTCTTGATTCATCTGCTTATTACAGAAGCTGTGTGGGACACACCAAACCAACAGGGCGCTACACTAACCTGAAGCATTGCATTCTGCTGCTTGCTGGCATGTCCTGAGTTTGCTTGAAGCATCACCAGCACTGCGACTTCTGTGTGCGAGCCAACAGTCCAAAGCACACATCAGCAGCGTGGCTCATATCTCTGTAGCAAGGCAGAGGGCATTTTTCATATTTGCATAAGTTTTGCAGAAGCCGACGACCACAACCCACGGCGGAACTTAAAAAACCCTATACAGACAATCCCTAATGGTAATGGTATGTTTAGGGAGACAACCAGGCACATGCTGCCTACTTCTATTATTCGACAGCGAACAGCTAGCGTTCTCTGCCGGTGGGCACCACCGGGCCCCGGAGCAGGCGGCGCCCCGAGGCCGGGCAGGACGGCAGGGCAGCGGCATGGGGGTCGGCAGCACCTACCCACGCCGTATTTCTCCTTCTCGCCCGGGCTCTACAAGTTGCTGACGCTACGACGCCCGCCGGCCGCGGGGCCCCTGCGCAGAGCGGGGCGGCTGCGCTGCTCCTTCTTCTCCCTCAGGGGGGCGCAGCTCCGCGGCCGCAGCAGCGCAGCCCCCGCCTCAGGCTGCCCGCGCCCCGTGGGTCGCCTCCTCCCCTTCCCGCCCGCCGCCGGCACGGCAGCTCTCCCAACGCGGTCGCACTGAGCTGCTCGCCCCGAGCCCCGTCGCCACTGCTCCTTTCGCCGTCGACAGACTCGCATCCCCGCGCCCTGCCACCGATGGCGCAACTCACACTGCGCTTTCCCCCGTCCCCTCCCCTTCCCTCTCATGTGGCCGTACGAGGCGCGAGGAGCGGGGCGGCGCTGACAGAGTCGGGCCGCGCTGCGTCAGCACCGGGGCTTCGTGGGACCCGCGTCGCGGTGGGCAGTTCTGCGGTGAAAACCAGTACCTAAAACCCTCCTACGAGCTGAAGTTCTTTTAAAAAGCACAGAAAGCCAATCGCTACCCTAGGGGGATGGGAGCTGAGGGCACCCAAATGGTCACAGCCTGGATCTCGCTTACAAGGAACCGGTTTAAACACCACAAAATCTTGCTCTGGCGCAGGGACAGGGCTTCTCTCACTGTTCCTTGCTACGGAGCAGGAGTGGATGTCCTCTCTCAAGGCCCGTGTTCACCCCAGGCTGTGCTGACTGGAAGGACAGCAAGCAGTGCTGTGCTCCTGCTGCTCTTCTGGAACACCTCCCAGATTACTCTGAGGAGCAGAAACCAAAGCAGGCATGCTTACAGTATGCAGTTATTAATAAGATCTTTAACCCATACGCACAGCTTCAGTGCACAAGGCTGACCACAGGAGGAAAACCACACCCTGCACACGGCATTTTTTGAAGCCTCTGGAACTCAATTAATTGATGTCAGGTCTTTGGAGCGTGCCAAACCTTCTAATAATCTAAATTCGAATGCATCCAACACTTTTTATAGAGTATCTGTTCTATCATTATATAACAAAATGTATTGATGAAAGTCATCAATTTACACTACAGAACTTAGGTTGCTGTGGAAACCTTCATTATTTATTTCTTTTTAGTGCTCGCAACTTACTTTTCAGCACTGAACGTGGCTAGCTTCCTCTTTTGGTTTTTGTTTGCTCTTGGGTTGTTGACCTTTCTTTTCCTATAGAGAACAAACAGAAAGCAGCCAATAAGTATGTTTTACGCTATTGATGTAGAAAAAACAACTTAATCACTTCTTAATTCAGATCCATAGTTAGGCATACATATTTACAATAGCTTCATTACTTTACTTCATGAGGCACTCCCAAAGCATGCAGAAATAGCTTTCCAAATGTACAAAAGACTGGCACTGGGTTGCATCTGTTGGAGATAGGCTGCTGGTATTTATAATTTTAGATTTTTTTTTTTTTCCCAGCAATAAATAACTGTTTATCTCTTGCTAGTACTGAGCGGAGAAAACCTCTGCAATGACAGGAATCAGTCAGTTCTTCCCATTTCTTCTTCTACAGAAATTCTTGGATTCTCCTCCCTGCCAACTGACCAGCAGTGAAGCAGATCACTTTCTGGCTTAAGGAAAGAAAAGAGAAAAAAAGAAAACAAAAAAAACAACAATGTTCTTCAGTATATATCCATGCCTAAGTTCACTCTTTCCATTCCAGTAAATACAAAATAAAGGTGGATTTGGGAATATTAGGAGAGAACCTTGTGAAGTTCAGTAAGCTTGAGAAATATGCAGAGGTCTGTAAAACAGCTGAAAGAACAGTACCTGCAAGGAATTAAAAACACACAAATGTTTTGCTTGTAGGCCACTGTGATTTTTGTTTCTTCATCATGGTCACGTAAATGCTAGCATGAACAACTACAGTCCTACTGATGACTGATGACTTGTATTTGAAATACAGTACATACTACTCATGTCCAACACTTTTTTCTGCACTGCTGTTGGCGATATTTACTTTTGAGCAGTCACTAGCACGATATATGACCTGCTAAAGAAAAATAATCAGTACCTTTGACTGTAGAGAAAGTAGAATGCACGTTTGCATAACTTAAAGTTACCAAATATATTTACACCTGTTCCTCTGATAAGTGCGTTCACCAGTTTAATGAGTCTCCTATCACCTCTACATACATACTGACTGCTTTGGTAGATATTCTTAGCCTAAGCGTACTGCAGAACAAACGTCTCATCTTGTGAGGAGGCAGAGGCACTAATCTCCCATGCAGCAAGTGGGTATCCAGGATCATCCATATGCAGAAAGACAGACCAAAGTGAACAGCAATATTGTGCTGGGCTGCAAAACAGCTATTGCTTCCATCTTCTACCTCTCAACACAGCTGACTTCTGCAACCTCAATATCCATACTGTTCTGTAAAGCACAGGAAAAGCGTAATGATATTGTGCAAAGATAAGCAAGAAATGTGGAAGTTTTCTATGCTCAAATTTTGCCTTCTCGAGATGTTTTTAGTTTTTCTTATCGTAATGCACAATTCAAAAGACGTAACAATAGAACTGGAATCCAGTGCCTACTTCATCAGACTGTTTAGAGGTTTTGTTAAAATTAACTTCAGCAATCAAAGTACATTTTATATTTTCTCTAAATGTCAGAGCTCTTACAAGAACTTATGTTAGTGGACATCATGGATCCCAGATGTAAATGCTTTTCAGAGCAAGGCAACCACCTCTTACAGGAGCCATCGGAGTGGCCATCTGTATTGTACTGCATGGAAACAATGACAAACACACATTCCGAGGCCTTGTTTATTGAAAAAGACACCTCAGGAAAAAAAAGTATTAATCGTTCTGAATAATTGTGTTAAAAGTTACTTAACAATGACTCTGTACAGGAGCTGTTATGTCCAAAGTGTTGTGAGTTGCTTACGGTTATGTTACAGCAGATGCAGTTGTCCTTATCCATACAGATTAACGTTCAACACAGTATTACTTAACGTACATCTTATACCATACTGTCCTGCTAGAATATAATATAGATGTGATCTGAAAGACAGCTGGTTGGGGAATGGAGAGATTTGACACGGTTTCTTTCTCTTAAATAGATTGAGGGAACTGCACAATCCTCTTGAATGCTGCACAAGGGACAATGGAAGGTCAGAGTGCAAAGTGCAGGGGTTCTCAAGTCTCCCTACAAGCAAATCCTTCTGCGTTATCCCAGCCTTACTCTATCATGGAATGTATAATCTTCTGTCCTCCCTTTCAGGTAAGAGCATCCTCATACTTTCTCCTTTCTTCCCGTTCTCTGGCTATAGATGCTGCCACTTCTGCTTAGATTGTGACTGCAAACCGCTGCTCTAAGCACAGAGCACAGAATCACTGATAGCAGAGAAAATCAGGGATAAATTTTAACCATCTCTGACAGTCAAATTATTTGCCTACATTGCTTCCTTTTCTTCACTTGAGGTTCCAGATTTATTAATTTTTCTGGCTAACGGCACACAGCTGCACTAAAGCCAGCATCCCTACGTTCAGAGCTTTCTACCCTATACTGGAGCAAGCAAAATGGCTCCTGTTATTGATTAGGTGATAGCTAGAGTCCCTCACCTACAACTGAGTCAGTCTGGTAGGCAGCACCCATCAGGCTGGAGCGTGTATCCCAGCTCTCAACAAATTACCCATCTGCAGTCACAAACGTCAGGATTCCTGAGTTTCAACTGAGACATGCTTTGTGGTAGCTTTTTCTATTCCACAATCTGCAATGTCAACTGAAAGCTAAAGATGACAGCAATGTTGGGCTGAACAGCTCCGAGGTGTAATTGGGTTTGAAATGAAAATCAGTTCTGATGTAAAAGGATATCTCAGCTGTATGCCCCCCTATATTTAACATGCTCTCTCCCACCCTCTCCCAGCTCTCTTTCTCGTTGCCTTTCACTGAGCGTCTGAATCACAGCTCCATCTTCTTTATTGTGACTGGGCACTGGTTGCTTTGATCACGTTGAAACGTGGCATTGCGCTAATGATCACCAAAGCCCACCTTTGATGTTGGTTGTGAATGTGCTGCTTTGCCAGAAGAGAGAACTCAGATGCTTTTGTTTTCTGATTATTGTCTGTCATGTTTATGAACAACAGCGAGACAGGGGAAGAGAGCATGAACACTTAATGGAGTGAAAAATTAAGGGACTGCCTGGCCCCCAGCATCCGCTGCCGTATGGATTGTGAGGGGCAAGGCAGAGTGCTCCACTGTGTGCTGGATCATGGGGAGGGGGCTCTGCCCAGTGTAACGCGGTGAAGATGCTCCGACCCAGCAAGCACCACCTGCACACTGGTGTGCAAGCCCACTGAAATGGTCAAGTACAACAATTCCTCTGCAGCACCAACTGGCGTGGAGAGAACCAGCAGACCCCCAGCACTGCTTTGCCTGGCCGTGGTCCAGCCCCTTCCAAACTGTCTGTTTTGCTGTAATCTGTCTTGGCATTTACACTATGCCTATTCTCTTGGTATCCAACTGCTTCACAGCGTAGGCAAGTACACACCGTGGCTAGAACTGTTGCCAGTGAAAAACAGCATTGTGACAAGAGCACTCACTGCTTCCATGCACTTCAATAATTCTGATGGAAAAAGCTCCAGAAGGTGCCACTCAGTCCTTGAGCTCTGCCAAACCAACCAGATGCATATCTGAATAGCTTACCTGATGTAGCTCTTTTCTTTGGGTACTGCTACTCGCTTGATCACACTTCCAGCTGAAGTCTGGCCTGATGCTCTGTTTTTTCCATGCCCACTGCTTCTGCAGCCTTGGTAAGTTTTTAAGTCACGGATGGTCTTGAGGAGAAGCACTGCCATGAATGGTGCTCGGTAACTGAAGAGCTCACATTCTCCACAGCATGGTCTGAGCCTTTCCTGCAGCGCTCATCAGCTGGAAAGGGATCAACTCCATATTTGTACCAAGACTCTTCTCCACCATCTTGCTGCTCCAGATTTCCTTAGGCTTCCGGGATCATTTGAGCCGCCACATCCCTGTAAGACAGTTTTTCAAGGTAAGCAAGATTCAGATTTTCTGTATCCTGTTCAGCTATTCACTGCCTTGCATGAAGGACTTTTATCACAGAATCCAGTGCAGTCAGGATGCAACAGCCTGTCACCTTTGAGAAAGCACAGCTGTGTCATACCAAAGTGCAGTGAGCCAACAGAACAATCAAATGAGAGACCTAGTCTGCTTGACAGCTCCATTCCACGCTGTAGTAAATCCTTTCAGTAATTTTGAATGCGCTTTGCCTCACTTGGTTATGTCATTTGCCTGAGCCCTGTCATATCACGCACACCAACTTTTAAA